TGGCCCAGCCGGGCAGCGCGGGTCCTGGCTGGGCAGGGCGGTGCTGGGCTGCTGGGCTGGTGGGCAGGGGAGCGGGAGGGGCTCATCTAGGCAGCAGGGACAGAGGGAGGAGGTTGGCCAGTGGGGCGAGAGGCGGAGAGAGGTCCCTATCGGTTTGAGGATATCAGGGTTGTGACAAGGACGCCTGGACGTGTGGGGGTCCCTGTCCCCCAGGAGCTCCCCGGCGCAGGCCTCATCACTCTCATCTGGGCTTTTTGTTTTATTATAGTTTTCATTTTTGGGTAGCATTTTATTTTTTAAGTAACTCACGTTCAGATACAGTTCACATACCACGTAATTCACCCATTTACAGGGTGCAACTTAATGGTTTTGAGTATATTCAAAACGTGCACAGCCATCACCGTAGCCAATTTTAGGACATTCTCGTCACCCATCCCCCCATCCCCCCTCTGTGCCCGCAGCTCCTGGCACCCACTCACCTGCTTCCTGTCTCTGGATTTTCATATTCTGGACATTCCCTATAAATGGAATCACACATATGTGGTCTTTGTGTCTGGCTTCTTTCACGCAGCATCATGAGGGCCATTCATGCCACATGATGCACCAGAAATGCGTTCCTTTTTATTGCCAGCGACTACTCCACCGTCTCAATGGGCCACGTTGGCTCATCTGCCCTCATCAGCTGACGGGCACTTGGGTTGTTTCCGGGTTTTGGCTTTTGTGAATCGTGCTGCTCTGAGCATGCATGTATTAGTGCAAATTTTTGTGCGGATGTACGTTTCCGTTTTTCTTGGGTGTATCCCTAGGAGCGAGGCTGCTGGGTCACCTGGTAAGTCTGTGTTTAACATTCTGAGGAAGGTTAATCATTTATATTATGTAACTTTAAATTTGCAGAAAAACTGCCGAGATAGTCTAAGGAACTCCTAGGTGTCTTTTACCCAGATTCACTTTTTAAATCACTTTTTTTTTATCGTTTCTTCTCTATGTATAAATATAAACATGCTTACAGTTCTCTCTCTGTGTGTATATACATTATTCACATTATTTAATATAGTGCATATTTTTTAAAAATATATTTTATTGATTTTTCACAGAGAGGAAGGGAGAGGGATAGTTAGAAACATCGATGAGAGAGAAACATCGATCAGCTGCCTCTTGCACACCCCCGACTGGGGATGTGCCTGCAACCAAGGTACATGCCATTGGCCAGAATCGAACCTGGGACCCTTCAGCCCACAGGGCGACGCTCTATCCACTGAGCCAAACCGGTCAGGGCAATATAGTGCATATTTTTAAAGCATTTGAGAGTAAGTTGGGGACACTGTGACCCCTTCCCTTAAATATTTCTGTGTGTATTTCCTAAGAACAAGGACTTTCTCACACATGACTACCATATAGTTATCAAATGAGGACATGGAACATGCTATCCACACAGTCAGCCTGAATGTGATTGAATAGGAAAAAAGGACAACTACAAGTAATCTTGCACAGACATAAGCATTTGCAAACCATGCTAGTGTGATGAAGAAGTCGAGGGTGCTGTGGGAGCATTACTGAGCCTACTTGGGGCTCAAGAGACGTTCCCAAAGGAAGTGGCACCTGGGTGTCCATCTGGAGAGTGGACAGGCATAGGTGGTAACAGGTGTGGGGATGGAAGGTGCCAGGGAGGAGAGCTCCGGGCAGAAAGGACAGCATGTGCAAAGGCCCTGAGGTGGGAAGGAACATTGTGCTCTGGAGGAGCTAAAAGGCCATTGTAACAGGAAGACAATGCTGCAGGTGGCAGTGGGCAGGGGACAGGGTCTGCCTCCTGGTCCAGGTGAGGATTTTTGCCTCCCTCCTAAGAGCGACAGGGTGCTCCCAAGTGGTTTAGGTAAGGGACCCCATCAGAATGGTGCTTCTGTCTGGCCTGGGCCACAGAGGGTAAGACGTGCAGCCAGCGTGGGGTGGGGCCGGGCAGCAGCAGCAGGAGGATGCGGGCCTTGCCAGAGCGGGGAAGCCAGAGCAGGGCTGGTGGATGGGCAGCGAAGAGCTGATTTTCGTTCCTAATTAAAAAAATGGATCCTTTTTCTCTTCTCCCATTTTTTTCTTTTTCATGTTTTAAAAAACTTTGTATTTGGAAACTTCACATTTCTAGATACGTTTTAGGAATAAGAATAGGAGAAAGAACAGCCCTATATCCTTTACCCAGATTGTTAACATTAAAAAGCGCCTTTAATTTCAAAAGCAGCACCTTCTGTTAGTAAAAAATCAGAAATGTGTCATGTGCCAAGTGGCGGTCTCCCCCTTCCCACACTCCCCTTGGACGTACCATGTTTGTGAGTTTGGAGTGCATCCTTCCACGCGTCTTTCTAAGCTCTAGGCCTGGCCGATGAGCCGGCTGGCTGTCCCGGGGCCGGGGGCACTGTGTGTTGGGATCCCTGGGTTGCGGACTCATGTCCCTGTAGGGTCTGGCACTGTGACTGCTCCGGGCAGGGAACGGGACGGGAAAGCCAGGCTGCAGATGGCAGCCCGGGGCAGGGCAGTGCCCGCGGAGAGGCTGGTGGGGAAACTCATGGATTCTGGAGACCGAAGACGCCTCTCCTCCCTTCCTTCCCACTGTCCCGTGGCGTTTCTGCACTGTCACATCGTCTTGAGGTCAGAGCTGAGGGGCCCAATGGCAGAACGAGGACCCGTGGGGCCATGTGGACAAGGGCAAAGGGACAGCAGCGGCATCTGAGTGGAGGGGAATGTGAAACCTCAGGGCTCGTTTGATGACGGGAACCCAAGCCCGGGAGCTGTGCCTCCCAGGGAGGCCCGGAGGCTGGGAGGGGCCCCACTTCCGCTCTCCACGCTGGCCTCCCGCAGAAGCCCTGGGCTGGTCCCGCGGCCGCTGACCGTGTGCTGTTTCCCCAGCTCCTTGGTCAGCCTGATGGAGACATTCAACGAGAAAGCGGAGCAGCTGGTGGAGATCCTGGAGGCCAAGGCGGACGGGCAGACCCCGGTGTCCATGCAGGAGATGCTGACCTGCACCACCATGGACATCCTGGCCAAGGTGAGGGGTGGGCGGCCCCTACCCCCCCCACCCCGGGGCAGAAGGCTCCTCTTCCCTCCCTCTTCCCCTTCCTTGCCTTCCTCCTCTCCCTGCTGCGCCCCCATGCCAGCGGCCCCTTCTCTGGGCCGAGCGCTTCGTGTCTCTTTAACTATTCCAAACAACCCAGCGTGAGACGGGAGCCGCTAGCTCATTCTCTAGAAATGGACACTGAGAGGGGTGGGCACTGGCCCAGGCTGGTCAGGGGCAGAAGCAGGACTGGCTCTGAGGTCTGCCGTCCTCCCGGCCCAAAGCCCACCTGCCCCTCAGCTCCCCGTGGGGTAGCGGCTTGGCTGTTGACCCCGGCAGACCCAGCAGTGGCCCAGGTAGCCCCGAACCCAGGGGAAGGCAGGCCAGGCAGCTGGAGTGTAGGGACAGGGAGTGAAGCATCGTTGTCATTCAGCCATTCCCTGGGCAGCTGGGTGCAGAGTGGACGCCCATGGGAGGCTGTGTCTCAGGGGCAATGCATCGTGTCAAGGAAGGAGTCGAGGTTTACTTAGTGGTTACTCTCTGCGACATAATTCTCACCACATTCAACGGGGTTGGAAGTATGGCTCATTGCAGGGAGTCTGCGACCCGACACAGGCCAGTCCTTGGCCCAGGGTCTGGGTCTCCAGCTGAACGGTGCCCGGCTCTGCCCTGGGCTTCGGTCCTCCCATCCCCAGGTCTGAGCCCGGCCTGCTCTCTCCCCAGGCAGCCTTTGGCATGGAGACTGGCATGCTGCTGGGCGCCCAGAAGCCTCTGTCCGGGAAGGTGAAGCTGATCTTGGAGGGCATCACTGCCTCCCGCAACACCCTAGCGAAGGTGCGGCCCCGCACTCCCCCGGCGGCCAGCCACCCGCGTGGGTGTCCTCATTTGCTGGGGCGCCTCCTCCAGGGATTTTTCCAGAATGAGTTCTGAGTTCCGGTTTGTAGATGTGAAGTGACTTCGACTCAGTTAGGATTTGCATACGTTGCCTCAAGGGGAGGCTCCGAATGAAAGTGGATTATGTAAATTAGGAGTGACCTTTCTCTCATGTAAAATGACCCTCTGAAACAGGCACTCTGGGATGGCTAGGATGGTTCCACAATGTCACATGTTCCTGGATTTTCTTTTTCTTTTCTTTTTTTAAAAATATGTTTTTATTGATTTCAGAGAGGCAGGGAGAGGGAGAGAGATAGAAACATCAATGATGAGAGAGAATCATTGATCGGCTGCCTCTTGCATGTCCCCAACTGGGGATCCAGCCTGCAACCCAGGCATGTGCCCTTGACTGCAATCGAAGCTGGGACCCTACAGTCCGAAGCTCTATCCACTGAGCCGAACTGGCTAGGGCTGGATTTTCTTATTGCTCTACTGTCTCCAGCACATCGCCTCATTGTCATACGATGGCTGCTGCAGCTCCAGCTGTCACCCCTGGTTCCAGGCTTGAAGGAGGACGAAGGGAGAAAGTGGTGCTTGAGCTGATTCTCAGACCAATGCCCAGGGCCCCCTCCATTCCCCGAGGCTCAGCCTCTGAGTTTGCAGCCCTCTGACGCCCCCCATTTTTTCAGCCGCTGATTCCAGCTCCCTGCCCTCTGGCTGTGGTGTCCTCCCTGACTGCAGTCCTAGCCGCCTCCATCCTTCAGGGACCCCTTACCTTTTCAGGGCTTCCTGAATGCTCTCAGGCATCTCTCCCATTGTTTTTAGGGGTTTGGTGCGGGAGGGGAAGCCGATGCATGCTTGGGCCTAGCCGGCCTTCGGGACCTGTCTCCCTGGCGCCTTTATCTTTTCTGACATGTCCTCGCATTCTCCCCACCTCCCAGCTTGCCGTGGATGTATGTGGATGTATGGTCCTTTGGGAGCTGGGTGGGGGCAGTGGGGGCAGCGGGGGCAGCGGGGGCATTCCGTGGCCCATCCTGAGCTGGGGCTCTTGTTTAGTTCATGCCCGGGAAGTGGAAGCAGCTCCGGGAGATCCGGGAGAGCGTCCGCTTTCTGCGCCAGGTGGGCAAGGACTGGGTGCAGTGCCGCCGGGAGGCCCTGAAGCGGGGCGAGGCCGTCCCTGCCGACATCCTCACGCAGATCCTCAAAGGTGGGGAGCCCTCTGCGAGGGCGGGTGGCCGGGGCGCCTCCTGACAAGGCGACTGTCCTTTGGGTCTTGGGAAAGGGAATGTGAGTGTGGCAGACGCTGCCGCCGGGCCCTGAGCCGCTGCTTGCCTTTCAGCCGAAGAGGGCGCCCAGGACGACGAGGTTCTGCTGGACAACTTCGTCACCTTCTTCATTGCCGGTTCGTAGCTGCATCGCGACCAAGGGCCCAGAGCTCTGCAGGAACGATGGGAACGATGGGTCCCTGGAATCTGGACTCTGGGAGGTTTTCCTGGCTGTCTGAGCAGAGTTAGGCTGTGGAATTGGGGGGCTGGGCCAAGGGGAGCGAAGCCTCTCTATGCCTAGGGGGGTCCAGGAGGCCCTCTTGGTGGCATCTGACCTGTTAAGGGCTGGCAGTCCTGGGGATGCGTGAAGCGGCCTTTTTTGGCTCAGGAGAGCTTGGCCATGTGAATTCATGTTTCCGCCTCACTCAGAATTGGGGATGGGGGGGCAGCCTCATTCATTGCTCATCAAATATTTGTTGAGCATCGATCTTCACCTACAAAACTCCTCCTCACTCTTCAGGACCCCCAGGTGCTTCTTCCCTGGGGAAGCCCTCCATGATTGCCCAGACGCATCAGGCCCCCCCCGGGGAGCTCTCCATGGTGCTCAGAGCTCCTCTGCCCACACGTCTCACAGTTTAAGTTGCGTATTTGTTGGTGTGATTCGATCAACGAGATGCGCTCTGTGACCTCAGAGAGACACATTGGTCTCAGCCTCAGCTTTCTCTTCTGCAAAATGGAGATGGACACCCCCTCAGGCCAGGCCAGGCCCAGGGATGGTTGGAGGAAGGGGTTTTAGAGTGTGAACACCGGATGCCCTTTATCTGACCACACTGGCTGGCATCAGGTGACGTGGAAGTGGGCAGGTGTCCCTTTATATCCGTATGCCCAGCTCAACCCTAGGGAGCAGAAGTGAGGGCCTGAGCTGCCACCAGGGGCTTGGGGTCTCAGAAGCCGGACAGCAGCCACTCTATGATCCCGTGTGGAGCTGCCACTCTCCTCCTTTCCTGCAGGTCACGAGACGTCTGCCAATCACTTGGCATTCACGGTGATGGAGCTGTCACGCCAGCCCGAGATCTTGGCAAGGTACGGAGAGGGGGCCAGGGGGTGGGGGGCTTCCCTTGATGTTGGTGAAGGGGTTTGTCCAATGTCTTATTCCTCGAGGACCACCTGCTCCCACCGCCCTTGGCTGAGCCCTCTGCATTGTGTCCTGCTTCTCTTCACCCCAGGGCCTTTGCGCATGCTATTCCTACCTCTGGAAGCTCTTCTCCCTTCTTTTCTCCTAGAAAACAGCAACTCTTTCTCCTCCTCCTCCTCCTTCTCCTCCCCTTCTCCTTCACCTACTTCTCAGACCCCTAAAGTAGCCACTAGCCACCTCCCAGCTCATAAATGCATTTTCTCCTGGGACTGTTTGCTTCAAGTTTTTTTCAGTCATGGAACTGGAAGCCCCAAGACTCCAGGGACCGTGGCTCTTTCCCTCCCCACGGGTACTTAGTGCCTGGCCAGGGGCTGCCTGTGAGGCCTGCACAGAATTCTAAGTAAAGTGCCAAGGGGGTGCCCATCTTCAGCTGGCAGGACAAAGGGGGGATGCCTGGGCAGATGGCATCTGAGTGGGCCATTGGCTTCCTTAAGTACAAACAGGTTCCCCCAAAGACTGAGCCAAATGTGAGAGTGCCCTAAAAATGCCAGGCAATGTCAGTGAGCATGCCGTCACCCACATAGCATGGCAGGGAGGGCGCTGGGGCGGTGAGGAGAGACCTGTGGTTAGTATTATCATGGCATAAAAGCGCAGTGGGAATGGCTTCTTGAGAACATGAAATAATTTATTAGGTTTCTAAAAGGATATGCTCTTTATAAAAAAAATTTGGAAAAGAGCAAAAAAATTAAAACAACAACATTAATAATCTATATATATAAAAGCCTAAGTGAACAGCCACCCAGCTGACCATTTGACCATCCGACCGGTAGCTATGATGTGCACTGACCACCAGGGGGCAGATGCTCAGTGCAGGAGCGGAAACCACAGGCATGGAAACATGGAACAGACTGATGAATCCCAGAGAGAATAAGGGAGGGGGGAGGGTGGGAAGAGATTAACCAAAGATCTTATATGCATACTAGAGGCCCAGTGCATGGATTTGTGCACTGGCGGGGTCCCTCGGCCTGGCCTGCAGGCATCAGGCTGAAACCAGCTCTCTGACATCCCCCAAGGGGTCCCAGATTGCAAGAGGGCACAGGCCAGGCCGAGGGACCCCACCGGTGCATGATCAGGGCCGGGGAGGGAATGTGGGAGGGCTCCAGGCCAAACCCCAGCAGCAAGCTAACCTACTGGTCAGAGCATCTGCCCCCTAGTGGTCAGTGCACATCATAGTGAGTGTTTAAATGAACGGTTGGAGACTTAGCATATTAGGCTTTTATTATATAGGATAAAGTTTGGGCACCTCTCAACCAACTGACTGCTCTGGTCCCTGAGGTGAGTGAGTCCATATGCTAGAATCCTTCAAGAAGAGCATCTCAGTTACCTAAAACATATACACTTCATGGATGCAAGCCCCATTGGATTTCAAAACTAGATATTTTGGTGGCTCCAGATGCAGGTACTAAAACATGGGATGCCAGATGATGGATTCAAAAACTTTGCAACTCAGGGAGAAGTTCAGGTTTGTGAGTTCCTTTCAGATTTGAGTCAATGTGGAAGAGAGTATATGGCAAAATCTTGTCTCAGCTTCTCCCACCCTCTTCCATGTGGGTTCCTCTCATTCACCAGGTGTGTAGGAATCATTTAGCTAGTTTTCAAGTTTTTTGTCTGAGGAAGTTTTTCTATATGTAGCTTAACATTTAGTGTGTCCATTGGAAGAGGTAAGTATGGGATCCTCCTATTTCACGATATTAAACTGAAACCCCTCTGCAATGATTTATTAAATGTCAGTAGTCATGTATTAAATATCTACTACATAAGAATTTCATCATGAAAATGAATTTATATAATGTATGAGTCAAATATAATTAGAACACAATCTTTTTGCCTAAATAAAAAGCATTTAAAATATTATGTGGATTTCCAAAATCTGTTTTCTCTATCTAAAGAGATATGAGTTTAAGAGAAAGAGGTTATTGTATGACTTTTACCTGCAACCTCATATACCTACCATGGTATTTACAATAAATAATTGGCAACGGCATTGTTCTATCCCAGCCATATTAACTAGTCGGATGCTTTATATTGTCTTAATATGCTAAAAATGAAACCTTATTGCGTTTTATTAAAAAATATTCTTAACTCATGGTAGCAGGGATATCATAGAGACTTTTTAAAATCTAATAAAGCTCTCCAAAAATATGCAACTATACATATGCATATAAAATTTGCACATATTTTCTGAGATTCATAAATACTAATCCCTAAGGATGTGTTTGAAAAATATTATCAGGCATGGCACTATGGTAGACCTGAAAGTGAGGGAGGAAAAGAGATTATAATAGCTGTAGGAATTTTCCTGCTATTGTAAATAATAAACATTTTGGAAGTTAATAATAGCAAACATTAGGCCTTTCCATCCTCAGATAATTTAATAGCACACTGCAGGTCTCCTAGGGATACAGAATAGGCATGATCTTCCCTGAATTACCCAGAATATATAGTCCCCCTAGACAAAGAAGAAAATTCACATTTTATTTTTCAATAGTTTAGTAAATGACTTCAGTTTGAAAATATCTGATGCATGTTGTGAAAAGGCTTATTCATCAAAGGTGAATAAAGTAGTCTCATATCTTGATCTTTTAACAAGTGAAAAACATAATGAAAATTGACTATGGTGAAGACTAGAATGGGAACTGGGAACAAAACACAAAGAGGGCATGTTTATCAGACAATGTTGGCAATACAAAACTCTGTCCTTGTAATTAACATTTCAACTTCGGGAAAATAAATCATAGTCTATTGAAGTTTATGAATAGTTAGATGGTG